GCATGCTGTCCCTGCTGTGTCTCCGGCACCCAGCGCAGCACCTGCCGTCACTGAACAAGGCATGCGCTAGGACTTCTGCAGGGGCTGCCTTCTGGTTCTTTGGGTTTGACATCAGAGGCACCCACCTCTTGCCTTCCCATCCACCCAAATGCCACCAGTCACATGGCTCAAAACGAGGTGGCTGGTGGGAAGACAGAGAACTGGTCTCATCTCCTCCCCTGCCTCGCCGCCCTGCCTCCGTGTCCCTGCTGCGTCCCTCAGGCCGGGACACACTGATACTGACTGAAGAGAAGGCCCCACTCAGAGCAGGGGCAGAGCTGGGGGAGCCCACGCATGTGAGCCCAGCCCGGACTCCTCGGTGACTTCTGGCGAGCCCCTGACAAAGCCCTTTAGCTGCCTGCTTCCCCTCCCCGCGCCCGGGCCGAGGCCTGTGTGTGGGGCTCAGCGGGTGCGGGGGGCTGTGCACCGGCTCGTCCAGGACACGCGGCTGCTGGGTGCACCGGGCTCCACCTGGAGCCCCTCACTCATTACCAGCCTGTGGTTTGGGCTCGGGGGAGAGCCTGGCTGTAATAAAATCATGTCTTTAGGCTAAAATAATAGGCATCATGTAATTATAGAACCAAGTGCATATTGTTTTCTAGAACATGAATACCGGCTACAGAAATCAAATTTGCCTCACTGGATGTGAGGAAATTACTTTAAAAACTGATTTATAAGAAGCTACATAGAACCAACCCTGCAAGCCTTACTCTCCTGAATGTTCTCTGAGATATGTCTGAACACTGCCATTAGTGCTTGATTGCATCTCTGTAATTGTCTTTTTATGGAGGCCTTTTTCCTTTCTTTTTCTTTTTTTAGCTCTGGTGCATAGAAATGTATTCGCAAAATCAAGGTTCCTTCCAGCAATAAACAGATGCCAGATTAGACCATTCTTTGTATTGTTGCACATCCATCTTTGGGAAAGAGACAATTTTACTTAAAGACATGGTTTTTGCCTTTAAAAAAGCTATTTTCTAAGTATCTGGCCTTAATAAAGAAAGTAATTGAATGAGACTTAAGTATTAAACTATATTTAAGCAGAGGCGAGATGAGGGATGTTGTCATAGTGATGCATGGGAGTCAGGTCTAAGTAACTGAAAATGAGCCATCCCTGCTGAATATTGAGTGACTAGGTGTTAAACACAGGGGCTCCAGAGTGGTTTCAGAGTTTGCGTTAATGATACTGTCAATGCTACAAGTTAAAACTCAGTTTAGAAAGTTTAGAAACATTTATTCAGAGCTTTTCCAACCCTGCCCTTCTCCGGAGCACCCCTGGCTCTCTTTGGGGAGGAAGGAGTGAAGGAGGGGGTCTTTGCCTCTATGCTGGTTTAGTTCTGGCCCCCAGAATTTTACTAACCTGAGCTTCCCACCTGCACAAACATTTCAACATCGTGGATCAAGCAGTGCCATGGTG